ACGTTATAAACCAAATTCGTCGTCGTCGAGAAATCGTTCTTCGAACTCGGATATCGATTTTTTACCTCCGCCGTCTCCACAAATTCCTCCTAATCAAAATCCCAATCGTCTATCCAAACAACAACAACAACAACAACAACAACAACAGCAGCAACAACAACAAGCTCATTTTGAACAAAATATGATGATGAATGATCCAATGTGTGGCCCTGGTGGCATGATGATTCGAGGTCCTTCACATCATGAATTTCCTCCTCATATGCATCCACAACATCGCATGATGATGATGCCAAATAATCGTTTTAATAATCCGAATTTTGTCATGCATTCCGGCCCAGGACGACCAGTGCATTGTCATCCTCATCCTTCATTTGGGCCAAACGGTGGCCCTCCAATGATGAACGATTTGATGTTTGAAAACGGTCAACCACCGCCACATTTTCATACAATGACGCCACAGCAACATTCTAGTCAACTTTTATATAATCAAAATCCGTTTCCTGATTCATCACCACATCCAATGTTCGATAATCAACATTCATTTATTTCGAATGGACCAAATAAACCTGACCGAGAACAATGTGGTGGCCCACCGATGAATTTTGTGGATAATGGACAATTTCCTGGTGCAGGAGGACAAACATTCGATCTATTATGATGTCTCTCTTTCTGAGTAAACAAATCAAATAAGCGGCAACGCGATCTTTTCTTTTTAATTTTTCTGTTGCAATCAACCCGGTTTTTGTTTCTTTTAATATTACACATTATTGTTTTTAATTGATATATTATTGACGAGTTGAACTATATTGACACACAGATCGACACGTCAGATGTATGCCTACTCTCTTTCTCTCTCTCTCTTAGCATAATCTGATGTTTTGTAATTCCTAAATTATTTTACCATTGTATTGTTTGTTGTTTTTTTATTTGCTGTTGTTGTTGTTGTTTTACCCAATATGTATATAGAGAGCGTATGTCTACAAACAAACACAAATGTGAAATGAATATACATGTGAGCTTCTTTTCTTCTTTTTTTCTGGTGAACAAAATGATCTCGACTTCTATATGTATCTCTTTTTTCCTGAAGAAAATGCAGAACTCTTGTTTTTGACGTAAATCTTTTTCATTTTGCTTCTGACACTACTGAGAAAAAAGAATCTCCTATCAGGTCTATGTATTTTTGTTGTTGTTTTTTTCTATTTCCAAAATCTATTTTTTTTTGTGCATTATATAAATGACGCACACTTTCTCATACACATATATGTATTCAGTTTTTATTTTCTCTTTCGATTTTCTTGCGTCTGTGATCAAAAAATGAGTTTTGTTTGTTTTTTTATTCGTACTTGTGCTCTAAACAAACCACACACAAGACATGTGTCTTCGTTTTTTTTCTTCAAAGTAATTAATTGTATTCATCAATTCAGATTATGTATGTTTGTAATTTCTCTCTGTTCGTCTCCCTCATTACAACCATTGAATTAAGAAAAAATTTTCTTTATTTGTAACAAAAACAATAAAATCATGTTGTGCATTGCTTTATATTCCAAATCTCTGGTTTTTTTGATTATTCTTTTCGTTTTGTTTGATTATTTTGCCCATTTTACATTTAAATATTTCGTTTTTTCTTAAGAACATAATATATAAATAGAATTACTTTACGACAAAAAAAAATACTTTTCTTTCCTTTTGTGTGAATTATGACTGATTAATACACGTATTTTCTTACTGTCACTAATGTTTATGAAACAGGCTGGATATTACAGACAACATGGGATGTCGAGATCAATCTAAAGCGAAAAAGTTATTTGAGATTTCTCTAGAACATGAGCCATACAAGATAAATAAATTAGAATTTGTATAATAAATCAATATACAGCACTTTCAAACTAAATTTCTGAATTGATAATCTAAACTCGTTTTTCGTACAGAAAATTTCCATTGCAAATGACTTCGGTCAACTATTTCAACTTCTGTTCTTGTTAAATATTGGTTCTAGTTTACAGTTTTACACGTCTACGGAGGAGGATTTCAACTTTCCCTGATATATATGCCCAGATTTTTTCCAAAATTCAAAATGACGTGATTGCCAGAAGAAATATACATAATGTATAGTCTTTCGTTTTCTTTTTCTTTTTCTCCTTTTATAAATTGATATGTATCTCTATCGTGACGTTAAATCAACAACAGGGAGAGAAAACAAAAGAGAAAAAATACACTGTTTGTTCGTCGTTTTGCTGTTCTATTCTTGACATCTCTTGCTTTTAGATATTTGCTATATAAATTACAGAGTTGTATAATTTTTAACTGTATTCGTTACTAATAATTAAATTAAACTCACAATGTCAAATATTACACCACCTGTAAATTTGGATAAACCAGCACATTCTACAGAAAGTGTTGACGAAGGTGCAGCAAAAGTTTCAAACACATTTGGGATGGATTCTCATGGTAAATTGTTGGAGAATAAATAGCTTGATAATTGCATATTACATAGATAACCATCGTTCTGTTCTAGGTAACTCATTGGCGCCTGAAAAAGCAATTGAATGCGCCATAAGTGGTACTGATCCAGCTGCAAAACCCAGTTCACATAAATAACATTTTAAATATAGAACATATTTATCTCTATATTATACTAGCTTACTGATACGTACGAATGCTGCATTTGTCTTTTACAATATTTTTCGTTTGTCATTTTATTTTATTTCATTGTGTTTCATTTTGGAACAAAATAAAATTCTCGATTATGTAAGGTTTAGAATTAATGGTCTAGTTTTAAATATAGAATCAGTGATGGATTTGAATGGCGCAGTCCCATTTACAGCAAAACCTTTCTAAATTCGCCACTTTATGGTACTTAATGACAAATTTGTGTTGAATTAGTGGCAGGCTATTAGATAAGTTTTCTTTCATTAATAAAACAAGTAAAAGGACACAGAACAAGGAAATCATTCTGTATTTCAAGAGTTTTTTAAAAAGAAATTGATTGATCATTAAAAAAAGATTTTGAACAAAACCGTTGATTTAGATTTTTGACGTCTCGTACTTCATTAGGTAATACAGTGCAATCAGATTCCCAGAAGAATGGTCTTGCTTGCCTTCACTGTTTAAGTAGTATAAGACCGATTGTAAGGGTCCTGCAAAAGCTTCTGGTTCTTTCAAGAGAATTTTGTTAATTAACCAAGCTTGACGTTAGAAAATCACTTTTAGATCTTTAGTCTACGCAAGTAGGTAATAATTCATTTCTGATCCTTTTCATCTTAACAACACGTTCGAATGCGTTTTTTTCCATCATTTAATTCATCATATTCATTTAAACGCGCTTGTTAGTGTGGTGGTGAATTTATTCTTGAATCTGTATGGAGACGCCCCTCATCTTTGATGAAAAAGAAACGCGCCTCGAATCATCAAAGACAAGAAATTGAACCCTCACGTCATCTTGTAATAAATTGCCCACAGACACCGACAATAGTTATAATAGTACTTGATTGGCTGTGTTACACTACGACTCCGATTCCATGAAGCATGCTCAGAGAGCCGCATTACGAAAAAACTTGAGGCTAACTTAAGTCAAAGTTGGGCTTAAGTCGGGACTTAAGTCTCTGCCGCTAACTTCTTCTTGCCTTAAGTTTTATCGTATTACAAAAAACTTAAGTCATAGAAAATGTAGTCTTAAAGTTAAGACAGAAAACTTAAGTTGGACTTAAGTCATTGACGCATTTTTCGAATAGCTCAGGCATCTAACGATACGATTCGACGAAATGACTTTTTAAGGTTTAGAGAATAAATATTTCGTTATTTTGCGGGTTTTTGTTCTGTCGTTTGTCACTGTTACCACAACAGTGTTGTCAACGACTTTAAAAAAGTAAACAACTCACTAACTTGAGTCTTTTTTTTCTAATACGGTTCAAGTCCCCAAACTTAAGTCAGCCTTAAACTTCGACTTAAATCATGGATTAAGTCGATGACTTAAGTTTTTTTGTCATACAACCGCAGATGATACAATATGATGGCAGAATCAGAGGACCGTATCACAAAAAAACTTACGTCTAACTTAAGTCTAGACTTCGGCTTAAGTTTTTTCATTATACGACCCTCCCAGGCTAAGTCGAGTGTGATTGAAACTGAATCTTTCAATTCACTGGCGGTGCTCACTGTGAGGATAAAAGAAATCATTAATTTATCATAATGAGCAAAAATGAGCCCGTTCGTTGCTTCGTACGGTGTTAATTGTGCGTGAAACTAGTCGAAAGGTACATGACAAGTGGCTACACCATTGTTCATTTCAGCGGCACTACTAGATAACTTTATTGGTTGACCATTCGTTCTCTCAATAAACGCTCTTTGTGGTGGCGGCATTTAGACGTTGATTTATTCTGACTTAGTTTAATCACATATATAACAGGGGGTCTTATCACAAAAAGCTTAAGTCAAAGGGTGACTTAAGTCATGGGAAGTGTAGTCTTAAAGTTAAGACCGAAAACTTAAGTCCGACTTAAGTCATTGACACATTTTTCGAATAGCTCAGGCATTTAATGATACGATTCGACGAAAACGACATTCTAAGGATTAGAGAATAAATATTTCGTTATTTTGCAGGTTTTTATCCGAAGTTTGTCACTGTTGTCAACGATTTTTAAAAAGTAAACAAATCGCCAACTTAAGTCTCTTTCGTGATACGGTTTAAGTCCCCAGACTTAAGTTTTTTCGTGATACGACTCGCAGGAGTTTGCTAACCCTATGGTATGTTGACGAGGTTAACAGTTATATTAATGAGAGCTAAAAGAATGGTTTATATAAAATTTGTCGTAAATAAGAGTAATGTACAGTGTACTCATGGGGCTTGTATAGAAAACAAAGGACTCAAATAAATATATTTAAGAGTTTCTTTTATAGTTAAATTCATGTCTACTAAAACTAAAAAGACTGTCTAAAGATAAACGTATTTGGTGATGTGAAAAATTGCTCATTACATTACTTCTGTAGAAATGTCAGCTTTGCTACTGGTTTTTCTTTGAGTATGATATCTCTTTTATGGTACTTAAAAACGCTGCCAATCAAAGTCTAGGTTCATTTTTTAAAGCGTAGAATCTTATTTACGGGCGCGATGTGTCAGTAGTAAAAGTTAGGAGCAAGTAACCATAATTAGTGCATTGTTTACATTGATTGTAACTATTTGCTTCTAGTGTTTTTTGTTAACATATCTTTTTTGTATTTTGTTCATTTAGAGTTGAGTAGTGTTGTCTATCGAGAGATCATTTCGTAGTGTACACTAAGAGTAACATAATTCCATCTTTGAATGAGAAAAATGTGTGCGAAAGCAAACGGAAAAAGGGCGTACTAAACTCAGTTTGAGCGCTATTAATAGAATAAAATGTTTTTATCATGCGAGAAATCAGATCGAATCTTTTACGCGTAGCAGAGGCATATTAACGATAAAAATGTCTTACCGGTCTCGGTCAAAAGTTACTATAACGCTGTAATTAAAGCGGCTTATTAGATTGTTATTGTATCTTATTTGTATTTTAGTTTTAAATGTTTGAGTATTTTCTCAAATCTTTGTTAAATAATGAACATGGTCCAAAAAACACTTCAAAATGAATTTATATTCTCGCCTGAACGATCACAATCGCAAACAGGCGCAGTGTTTTCCAGCAAAAAGGTTAGTTGATTGAAAATTTACATGTATGTATTGATATGTATTATTTTCTGATTCAGGCAAGTCGTCGACGTTTAGTATTAACACCACCATCCAAACCAGTATCATCTCGTGTCAATCGCTATGTTTCAAATGTAATTAGTTCAACGTCAGCAAAATCAGTTAGCAGCGAATCTTATGGTGCTAGTATCCTTTTATGTTTATTTACGTATACTGAAAATACAGTGTTTGTTTCGAATAGATGAAGTAGAGAACTGCTATGAAAATCTTGAATTTCACTACTTCATCAGATGGTTAATAGTATTTGTCGTTCCTTAATGACTAAAACAGCTTTGGAGAGTCCATTTTATGCTAAACAAACGTCTTGTACGTATTGGGAGCAATGCTTTGAAAATTTACAATATTTAGGACAAGGATCGTTTGCCCAGGTAAAATATAATATTGACTCTTTTGTAACAAGTTAAGTTGATGACATTTTTTTCTATTTAGGTTTATAAAGTACGAAATAAAGAAGATGGCCAGTTATATGCAATTAAACGCTCAAAAGAAAAATTTCGAGGTGTTTCTGATCGGTAAGCATAGCACCCTGTTTTGGTGTCTACTGATTTTTGCTTTTATGTTCGAACAACAGAGCTCGAAAATTGCAAGAAGTTACATTTCATGAGACATTAGGATCACATTCAAATATCTTAAGAATAATTCGTGCATGGGAAGAACGCGATCGATTGTATATTCAAACAGAATTATGTATCACAAAGTATGAATACCCAACAGTCATATTCATATCTGTCATGCATTCAGAACCATTTTTCTTTGCAGTTTGTTAGATTATTCAGAAGAAACTCAAATAACACAACGAATGGTGTGGCATTTTTTATATCAAATAAGTCAGGTAAGATTAAGTTTAATAAAAAAATCTCTGCTATATTGATCACAGCAATATATTGGTCTCTCTTTCCAGGCACTTGATTGTCTTCATTCACAACATTATGTACATATGGATGTTAAACCCGAAAATATTTTAATTACAAAGGAAGGAACATTGAAATTGTGCGATTTTGGAATATTACACGATTTGAGAGGAGTAAGAAAATTTTCTGCTATTGAAGTTTTTAGTTTCTCTTTTGAATGAAAAACATAAGTGTATTTCACATTGATTAGAATTGTAAGCCCAGTAGAAACAGAAGAAAGTGTTAAAAGAAAATAAGATCGATGTGAATCATGATCTTTCGTTTCTACAATGTAATTTCTGTTTGTTCTTGTTTATAGACGTCGTTAGCGCAAGACGGAGATGCACGATATTTGGCACGTGAAGTATTATCAGGAAAAATAACGACTGCTGCTGACATGTTCAGGTTTGCTTTATTCTTTTCTTTTGACTATGTTCAAGTACCTTACAGTTTTTGCGTGTACTTTTTTTAGTTTAGGTATGACAGCATTAGAATTAGTGTCTGATTTTAATATGCCAGCAACGGGTGATTTATGGACAGATATTCGTGATATGAATATACCACCTGAGATAACAAATAGTAAGATTTGTCTAAACATATAAACACACAAATTAATTCTGTTTCACTATGATAGATTTAAGTGATATTGGTTTGAAAAAATTATTGTTTTTATTGATTAATCCCGACCATACTAAGAGACCATCTTCAAAGGAAGTATTAGACAATTCAACTATACAGCAAGTACGATATATAGGAGACAGTTTTTAATTGAACAGAATTTCTCAAGTGACTGATATCTCGTTTAGATTCGAACAGAAACTTCACCATTTGCAGTTATGGAAAAGGTTTGAATTATTTATTTAACTCGTAAAAAGTAAGGGAGTGCTAATTTCTTACTTTGTTTAGCCAATGTCTCCTGATCCATCACCGAGCACAGATTGTCGAACACCAACAAAGAAACCAAAACGTCCACCCTATGCCGTTTACAATGATGATTCAGAAGGTATCCAAGCAGTTTTATTTGTATGCATTGCAATTGCGAGTACTCTTTTGAGTATAAAGGTACAAATGAATGAATACTAGCGATTTTTCTTGCTTGAAATACTTTTCGAGGAAAGTCTACAGTTATAAAAAGCGTCAGTGACATTTGTGCGCGATGAATATCAGCATTCAGTAAGGGTCTGATATTACAACTTTTTGAAACAATTTCGTTACTGGAATTCGACCAAGGGGATGCCACTTTGAGTGTGAACACTTGTGAGTAAAGTTCACTTAGTAAGACACTTAGTTAAGTTTTATTGTTTTTTCATTAGATTTGGCTGTGGTTCAGTTAATAGAATGCCTTAAATATCAAATGGTCCGAGTCTCTAGTTTTCATTTTATTTGGTATAAACAGTTAGTTAAAAGGAACAGTAGCAGGCACGAAATTATAAAACGTGCATATCTTTTACAACAAGCAGACACATAACCTCACATAGAGATTTTAGTTAGAAAAAATTAGTTAGTATAACAGTAGAACATAGAAAGAGAGAAGATGAGTAAATAATAATAAGAAACTTTTTCTATTTATCTGTAATTTTTTAAAAATGTTCACAAATGTTAATTAAGAAAAAACATCACAGCGTTTTATTTACATGAATATACAACACACTTTTTTGCTCATAACAATGTGCACGCGAAAGAGAAGACATTGTTTACATGCTAGAAAACGTTTGGCTATTTGTTCTATACAATTGATATAGTTCTATAAATAAACGTGTACAGCCTAGAAAACAAGAAAAAGATGTTTGTTGTTAAGCAAGATACACTATAGAATAAAATGAGTAAAATGTTCTGATAGTGCACAACAAACTTATTTTCAGCAAGTTGCCATACATGACAGTGATCTAAAATATTTGTTGTATATTCTGCTGTTCCTGACTGTCGTGTTTCTTTTCGTATATCACAAATTAGCTTTAAATATGTTTAAATATGCGATTTTACTAAAACGTATTCTAAAAATGGGGGTTTTTAGTTCTTCTTCAGTTAGTTGTTCTTTTTGAGCTGAGATATATACAAACAAAAATGCGACTCACAATTTACTACGAATATTTTACTTGATTTTTCTATTTTTTATTATGAGCAATTAGAATTTGTATTTTTGTTTTCTTTTGTAGATGATATACGCCATTCCAGTTGTTCTCGTGATCTACACCTGTATGTGTTTCTATTTGTTAAATTTATATGTAAGAAAAACTGATAATATCCTCAATTTTTCTTTTAGAAGTCCACCACCATCACTCACCATACAAGGAATCGTGGATCCTATTCGCATTCGTCTATTTTCAACAAAAGATGATGATATTGAAAAAATGGATAACAATATTGATCAGGATTGTGATAATGATCACATTTTTTTGTATGTTATTTTTGTTTTAGAATAATAGAAACGTTAAACTATTATTTTTTTAAATTTTTTCTAGTCGACGATCACCGGTTAGATTGAAATTGGATAGTGAGAGTGGTGACGAGAACATGAATATTACCCAAATTTAATATTTCAACAGTATTTTATTTTCGTACAATTTTGCTTTTGTTTCTCAGAATGAAAGCACACAACTTTGCTCACAATATATTTTATAATCATACGGATTGATTATTTCATTTTTTTTCAAATTCTTTACGTTCTTAAAAAGAAGTACGCTTTTTTTTTCCATTACTCTTGTTCTCACGCTCAGATATCTTTGTTGTAATAATTAGATGATATAAGTAAATATTTTTTTTCTTCGTTCTTCCAAAAAACGTTCTTGTTTAAAATTTTTTTCTTTTTTTGTGATGCAGTAAATATCTATTATATACTGAGAGTAAAATCGTGAACTAAGTCAGCATAAATAGTTGTATGATGATTATATTTATTTTGGTCAAATTTACAATTTGTACTTAATATTTTTTTATGTACAAATCAAACAGGAGGATAAAAGTTGTCTTCCATATGATCAGTGGCGGGCCGATGTGATGGCAAAGTGTGGCAATTGCCACACAAAAAAATTGGTGTGACCACATGGGTGTGCTCTTAGTTTCAAAAGCGTTTTTTTTTTTGTTCACTACTGATACTTTTCGAAATTTATTGCCACATCAAAAAAACAGACTCTGACTCACCACTGGATATGACTGAAACATGTGATTTTAATATCAGAAGACGACTAGAGTATTGTAGAGAAAAATTTCATTTATATGCCTTTTATGACTAATTGATTTTTAGTTATTCGTTCATTGAACGAATGATATACAAAATTTATCAGCAAATAAAAACACGTTATTTTGATTACTCTGTAACAAGTGAAAAACAATACTCTAAGATTAAGACTTCTTACTATTTCTGGTGAATAGTTTAATCTATTCCAGATGATAAAAAAATTATTACGAAATATATATCCTCGAATTACTTGGTTTATTCATGGTGGTTGTACATGCTATTGTATTCAACGTTTTTTGTTCGACATTGTTAAAGTAGAAGAAAATTGTAGTACACTAATCGAAACGGGCGACATTATTCTACTCGACTTATGGAATCGTTTTTTAATTCAACGGTATTTTTTTTACAGTCATTAAAAAAAAAAGATTTTGATATTATTTCTAAACACTTTGTCTATTGTTTTAGAAATGATATTGTTTGTTTTAAATCGCCAAATGATCATCACTCATACTTTTTCGGTTCAGTGATTGGTCTCTCGGGTGAATTTATAGAAAAAAATATATCAGAGAAAAAACGTATGAAGGTTCGTATCAGTTAAAACATAGAAGATTTCATTAGATGTAAGAGAAAAATAATCTTATTCAGATAGTGAAAGGAGCTATTGGAATTGAAACGACAGCAGACGAACGGTATTGTATACCGTTAGGATTAGTGGAAGGAAGAGCTTTACTTCGGGTACGTAAAGACAAACGTTGAAAGCTCATACTGATAAAATGTATACAATTTTTTTTTTCTTCATCTAGATATGGCCCTTAACACGATTCGGATTAATTAAAAATTGACAGATGACTGTGATATTTGCTGAATAGCTATACTAATCTTTGTTTAGTGCTTTGTAATCTATTGTACCCGTTTTTATTGTATTTTGTGTATGGGACTGTATTTAAAAATAATCTCTACTACTTTGCAAACTTACGATAAATCCGGCAACATTTCTGAAAAGATGTTAAAAGGATGACTCCAAAATAATGGAACACTTTGATTTTCTATCTTTTAGACATTTAGCCTTAACGGATCATTCTTATAGTAAAAGAGTATTCTGCTTTACAAGATCTGATAGTTTTTAGATTGATTGAGATATTTCGAATACAGACAACTTGCTCCTTTTTGTTGTCTTCCACTACATTCTGGTGCATCAGTGGTTTTCATAGGTAGAATAGAATTCTTCAGAGATACGTTTTAATTATGTAAGTGATAAACATTTCTGATAGACTGAAGACTCGTGTAATCTCCCTTTGCCATACTGAATGTTCGACTAGTGTGTATCACGGCAGATTTGAAACTCATATGTCTCATTATCTTTCATATTGTTATTGTTCATTGGCTATGCTTATTCGGTCAGTTTTTGCCTCGTCGTTTTTATCTCAACATTGATAAAAGCGTTAATTTACAACTTTCATGGTTGATTAAAAATCAGAGTAAAGTGGTGCACATAACTTCAATTATTTTTCAGTTAAAGAATTAAGAAAATGAATTCGAAATGCGAGTGTGCATGTGACGAGACTATTGAGTACTTACTCTTCCAGTGTGAACTTGAAGAAAAAGTTTAATGGCTAAAATTCTTTACATAAAGGATTTTCGTAGAGTAAAATATTCAAAGAGAGACTATTTTGATGTTTTTCTATTAGCTTCTATTTAAAAGATATTTGTAACATACATAGACATCTATCCTACAGAAAACTTGTATTTCAATAAATATTCATTTCTTCAGTGATTTCAAGTGTAAAATAGAGCCTTTATTCCTTCATCCATATTTAAATAGGTCATCTCCATATTCTGCTTAGTCGTTTCAACTTAAACTGTGTCTCAAGCTGACAAAATTAAATTATAATGTTTCCGGTTAACTTTTAGTCTGTTTTTCTATTTCGGTTTTTTCATTTGTTCATATAAAGTCGAAAAATTTATTGTCATTGAAGAAGTCCATACTTGAGACATTGAAATTTATAATCCAATTACATCGAGTGTTTAACTAGATGTTTGTTGCTCAAAACATTTGTCATGTTTATATGTCATCATACAAGATCAATCCTATTTGGAAATCAAATGTTAGTACTCTGTTTTTAATTTGATTTCTTCTGTCAATAGTTTCCAAAGACGTTTCCACTTATCATACAGTCTAAGTTATTTTTCTTAGAAAAATATTCGATATCCAGTAGCAATACACTAAAAATTTGAAAACATACAATAACAATCAGGAGAAAAACACGATAAAAAGAAATATTATTTACATATAAAACTCATGAAACGAGCCGAACATTAACATTTTCAACGAATTCAAAACAAAATAAATATAACGAATCGACACCAAATATAATAAGTAAAAAAATGATCAACAAATAATTTTGCATAACCGGTATTTGGAACGATAGATAAAATTTTAATTTCATTCATTACTGTCATCTACTACAATAGGTTTTCGTTCTTTAACAACACGACTACCAAGACATTCTTGAAAAAATCGAATTTCAAATCGAAAATAATCTTCATATGTGGGACGATCATTCTCAAAATAATAATCCGAATCTGGATATACCTTGAATATGAATAATGAGTGAATATTAGACAAAATAGATATAAATTTAGTAATAGTTCTATACTTCTTACTTTAAATTCAAAATTTTTTCCAGCTCCAACAAATGTTTTCGCAAATATGGCTGAATGTTGAAAATGTACTACTTCTACATAAATGAGAAAGAATGTAAAATATAAGATAAAAATATAAAAATAATATTTAGCCTATTATTGACCTACCATCAGACATTCCATGAACAATTGCCAGACTTTTGTTTCCAATTTCATATGTGCTAGTTGATTGCTAAAATAATATATAATTAAATAAATATTTTTCAATTGAAAAAATGATTGTTATTTATTACGTCTATGTGAACAGAATTTAATCCATTTATTCGTTCGGTATAAACCGCATCTAAACATTAATATTTATTGAAAGAAAATTTTGTATATAAAAACAAAACAAAAAAAAGTTAACTTTTACTTACGATAATGTGAAAATTTATTAACGGGTGATTGTAAAAATGCGCAAATATATTCATCTTTGTCCTTATTATTTTCTTCCAAAAGTCTTAGCGCTATCAAAGCTGCAGATCCCTTCAAATAAATAAAAAATAAAAATAAAAAATAAAAATCATTTCTTTTTCTACATACTCGAGCTTTTAAACCAAAACGTGTTTCATTCAATGTATTGCCAAGTCTCTTCTCGCGATATTTCAAATGTCTAAAATAATTTTATTGTATATAAAATAGATATTTTGATAAATGATCTATTTTATTATATCATACTGTGCTAATTGAATATAATCATCATGTTGACGGTGAAACCAATCTACATGATCACTTTTTAAATAATCTTCATCTTGCCCAGAGCTACCATGTCCATCAAATAATACAATACTTATATTTTCTTTCGTTACATGATAATATCTGAATTAAAAATATTATTTAGAGTAATAAAATCAGTGTATAGAAGAGAAAAACAAAACAAAACGTTTTTGTAACATACTCTTGTAAAAATAATGGAAATTTTTTAGTTACTCTCTGAATGTTCAACTTTTCACTACTATAAAATGAAAAGAAAGAAAGAAAAATTTTGTAAAATGATAATAATAATTGAGATAGAATTAAATCATCGTACATAGCTACAATGACTGGATAAGATGAGATTGTCGCATTTGGATTATACCATGGTGGAAAGATAATCATACCATATCCAACTATAAATAAAAATTAAAAAAAAAAAATCAATAGAAAAATATTATTGATAATGTTAAAATATGATAAATACACATCAGAATGTTAATTATCTTACTTATATTCTTTTTAGCATCTAATGTTACATTGAAAAAATCAATATAAGGAAGAAGTTTTGAGTCGAGCCATTGACGAAATGGTTGATTATCTTGAATTTTAGCGACTAAATAATTAAAATAAAAGTAAAAATCATTAATGTAAAAAGAAATTTGTTATTATTATTTACCACTAATTATTCCAGAATGTTTATATAATCTAGAATATGGTATATCTGGACCAAAACATTCCAATATAAAATAACTGCCATTATTTTTACTAAATTGAGCACCAGAATACGAACAATTTTCATCATAACACGATAGACATTCAGGTTCAACATATTCTTGCATCACCATCCATCTAGTATAAAACATATTTATAAAATTAAATTAGATATGATCACTATGTAATAGAATACTTGTAAAATTGTCGTTCTCTTGGATCTCCTCGAGATCCAGTGAAATACAGAGTATCTTTATCTTCAACATGAATAATTCGATCAACAGGAATATTTGTTGTAGACGTACGATCTATTTGAGGAATCTAAAATAATTTCTTTTATCAAATAAATAATCTATTAATAATTAACATTTGTGAATACATACAGATTGACCGAAATGAATTCGTACTATTTGTGGATATGATTTTCCATATTTATCAAAATTGAACTGATTAAAACGAACAATAAATGCATATGTCCCTTGTTTGTCAAATACTGGTCGTAGAAAATTCGCTGGTATCCAACCTTTTCTGGCTTGTTCAATATAATACTGTTAAAATAAAATAAAATAAAAAGTCAATAAATATCAGAGATGAGTTTAACTATTGTTGAGTATAAAACTACTACAAAGATCATGATAGATTTTTAACAAAAATCAGTTTATTCATGCTTTCGATAAGAGACACTTATTATTATCAGGAAAAATGTAGCAATTTTATACTCAATAATATTTAAATTAATTTCTACTGTTTTACTCTCAAATTATTTATCAGAGATGAGACCGATTTATTTTTTATCTAAATCGAACCAAAATTGAACCGAAAATTTTTTCAATCAACAAACTTTCTATGAAAAAAGTTTAGATATTTTTTATTTGGTTTCAAAAAATGGCATCAATTTTTTCATTTCTCATATGTATTATAATGATTTATAATAATACAATCATACCTTTTTCAAAACTACTTTATTTCCTTCTACTGTATATAATTGAATAATACTTGAATTTTGTGCACGATTAGCATAGACAACTGCCAAACAAGTATCACCACACCAAACAACGTGGAATATATAAACATTTGATTTTCTAAATATATATATATATTTCTTGTCTTATTACAATATGATTAGCTATTATAAAATTTGAATTCCGGAACTCTCGTCACAAAAAAGTCGTGGGTACTTTCGTCACAGTTTTCGTCACATTCTCGTCATACGAGAATTCGATGACGAGAGTTCATTGGAACTTTCGTCATAAGAAATTTTTATGACGAAAGTTCATAGAAAATTCATAGGAATTTTTGTCATAAATTAATTAATTACTCCATATTATCAGTTAAGATACCATGTGGGATGTACCTGTCTTATAGGTATATACGCATCTTATAGGTACATACCCATCTTATAGGTATATACCCATCTCATCAACTGACAGATAAGAACGAGAGACAGCAGGATACTTGTACAAATAGACATATATGAATGTAAGAGACAGGGTGGAGAAGAATTAGACAGTTAACAATAGTCATTTCTGTATTCTCGTCAACCCTGCTGTCTCTCGTTCTTATCTGTCAGTTGATGAGATGGGTATATACCTATAAGATGGGTATGTACCTATAAGATGCGTATATACCTATAAGACAGGTATATCCCACATGGTATCTTAACTGATAATATGGAGTAATTAATTAATTTATAACAAAAATTCCTATGAATTTTCTATGAACTTTCGTCATAAAAATTTCTTATGACGAAAGTTCCAATGAACTCTCATCATCGAATTCTCGTATGACGAAAGTTCATACCAAAGTCTTGTGTATGACGAAAGTTCATACCAAAGTCTTGTGTATGACGAAAGTTCCTTTTTATGACGAAAGTTCCGGATACCTAAAATTTAGTACGTACAATGGATCATATTCGAGAGGACGTGGTACTTTTATGGTTTCGCCAGTATTAACATTATAAACATAAACATCAATGAATGGCAATGAATCACCGGACTAATAGAAGAAGAAAACAAAAACATCTTTATTTTGATCAATCTATTTTTTTTATTTTAATCAAATGTTTTAAAAGTTTACCTTTGGATAAGGTATAGTATATTTATCATTGGTAAAGGAATTGTAGGTGAGATAATTATTTTTTGGTACTGACGTTAAATTAAGTTTTACAAATGCTAAATATCGATCTGTTGGTGACCAGTATAATAATACATTATCATTAAATATATCATCTATTGAAAAAAAATAAAATAAAAATGATATTTGTACAGTTAAAAATGATTATCTTTTGGATACTTTTAACGACGTATTTTGGGTAATGAAGGATATCTCATCTTTCTGTTGTTTTTGAATCAACTTACACTCATAAATCCATTCAATAATTCCATTATGGATATCTTCTTTATGTCCATCATTTGTTATTTGACGGGTCTTACTTGAGTCAATATCATATATAAAAATATTAAAATTATGAATAAATACCTAAAAATAAAACAATAAGAGAAATTAATAATTTTCATGTTATGGAAAAATATTGTCGAATTTCTAATTACAATAAGATTATCTGTATTGGAAAATAGAATTGCTGATACAAAAAGTGTTTTATTAATCGACGATATCAATTTTGATCCTTCATATAAATCATAATCATATTCGGTATAATAAGGTCGAATCTAAAGATAATAAAAGTTTTTATTTTATTTTCTTATGTATTTTCTTTTTCTTTTCTACTACTTCTTTATTTTACTTACTTTTCCTTTTGAAATTGGAATTAAAATATATCGAGCAGACGGTGAAACAATTCCATCTCCAACATTTTCTTGTTGAACATTCTTCAAATGTACAAAAAATAGAGGTGAACAATAAAAATTGTTAATATTTTCTCTTCTTTTACTTACATCCCATTTAAACAATAATAAATTCTCATTTGTTTGACAATTGTATATCCATATAGATCCATTAATATCAGGATAAGAATAATGAACATCTAAACAAAAAATATGTTCAACATAGACGAATTATTATTATTATTATTTACCTGATATCCATGTACCATTCCATGGTTTAGGAGGTTTTACATTAAATATATCTTTTAATGTAAATGGTATTAAATCTCGATGTTTATCTGGTTGACCTATATTGAATAAAATAAATGTTAAATTAATTTTATTATAATCATTAAAATTAATTGACTTACGGGTAGCAGTTAAATAGATAGCTAAAATAATAAATGAACATATAACAGTAATAACTAACAATGCTATGCCCAATCCTTTCCAATTTTGTTTCTTACTACTACCACCAACTAATTCCTAAATAAAAAATAAAAGATAATTTAATATCATGTTTTTATCATTAAATATAAAAAATAATGAATCATCAAAATTCCATCATATCTATTTATTTATTTTTTGTATCTCTTAATTACATTTTAAATTTTTTTTTCCTTTATCTTAGTAAAAATGGCAAAAACTCTGATATAAAAAAGAAAAATGTTCATTACAATATTTTTACTTATATTTTCTATTATATTTGGTCAATGATCAAATTTGACCATATCATTTGTCTTAAAATGAAAAACTTACCACACAAAATGAACAACATCCCGTAAAAAAAGTTGACGAATTTGAATGTTCTTGATGTGTTGTAGCGAACATATAAAAGAAACTATTCTGCGTCTGGTTTTTCTCTTTTATAAACGATGTAAAGATTGAAAAATTGAACGTTGAAAGATATTGTTAGAAAATGAAATAACATAATTTGCCGAAAGCAGTTCTCTCTCTTTCTTTCTCTACTAACAAGAGTTTTTAGTTAAAATTAACTTGTTCATCTTTTTTTTTATTTTTATTTTTTTTCTAGACAAAAAACAGAACATAAAGATAAAAGAATAAATTGTTTCGATATGCAGAGGCAAAATAATCATATATTCAATACACAGTTATGTTGTCATTTAAAAAAATTTATTCATAAAAAAACGGAAGTGAAACGAAAGACTCGCTATTAGTAGCGAGAATAATACAAAAGTTAGTGTCTCAAGACATTAACAACAACCAATATGTAAAAAGCAACTACTGCTATAAAGACATTCATATATCAATATATATAAACATATTATGGGATAATAGTTGACAACGAATTATTAATATGTATTTTATACAGTTGCAATATTGTTTTACTTGAGAAAATATGTGCATAGTGTTGAATGATGACAGTCTACGAAAATTTGATAGTAAGTAGGCACAATCTTACTCAATTTAGAGAGTGCTTTTAGATTCCATATGTGAATGTCCTATTTTTTTTTTTCTATTTTTCTATGATACTCTAATAGTAGGTATTATTTAATTTCTATGCCATATGAGATTAATAATATAGCCACTTTAGCCTCATTTATTACATTGATTACACAACATGTCTTCTTTGAGTAGTGTTCACATAGTAGGACGATGATAATGATGACTCATATCTCATAAAAAAAATTAATAAAAAGTACCCCTCCCCCCCCGCCCCTTCCCTCCTTAATAACACATAAACATAGCATCTTTTATTTAAAATTTTGATTATTAGACGAATATCTAATGAATATATCTAATGGAGTCATAGAATCACTGAAAAGTCCGAAATAGTTTGGGCAATGTTAGACACAGTTATAAATAGAAATAAATTCGATTTATAAACGGTTTTCCGCTGGAAAATTGACCGAAAATAGTTGAGAGTTATAAATATTTGCAAACTATTGTATTTCGGACTCTTTAGTGTACGGAATGGAGAATTGTTTCACAGTTATAGTCTTATGGTTGACGTACATTTGTAAAAATAGTTTAAAATCACATCGAAGAATATTTTCCATTGGAGGTTTTAATACGATAGAATATTTTATGAAAAACAGTGGTTATTTCAAAGAAAATTCCTTTTTGATTAAAGATAAGACAATTGCAACCGGAAACATTCCTTTTATCTAAGATAAGGATTATCTTATCTTTTATCTCACGATTTGCCCCTTACGACTTTTTGATTAACTTGAGTATTTTAGTAAACTTTATAGTTTAATAATCGACACCCGAAATATAGAGAGAGGGAGAGAAAGAGAAGAATGGATGGTTTCAAAAGATGTCTCATGTTTCCTGTGTCTAACTATGACATGAGGGTATGATTCTTAAAGTTTCATTGACCTCCTAAGACATTTTTTCAAACAAATGTAACATTTTTTTGAGCGGAACACACGTACACATTTTAAAGTCTAAACACATTTTTCGAAATCAAAGTGCAGTACATAATTTAATTTAACATTTCATGTACGTTATTACTGTCCATTTCGGAAATGAATTCCTAAGGATGGTTTTTGAATTGCATTCGATCGAAAAGTAATAGATACCTGTCTTTTATTATTCGATAGCCAACATGTGCAAGAAAATATGATGTATTAGATATCTCATAAAGAGTAACCTCAAATAAGCATGAATCAGAGGTTATTGACTACTCTGAGGTGCTTCGGACCACCCGTCTGACAGCATACTCACTACGTTGTGACGTACAATACAGAGTCTCCGGCTAGTCCTCGTGACTTTCCGAAAAGATGGTACGTGGCGTCAGGTTAGCCTTCTTTTGTTAGAGCTACAATTGATGATTAGTAATGAGATGGGTGACCGTTTCAGAAGCTTGTCAACTGCAGAGAAAATATCGGGCTATTGAAACTGCCATGGCAGTACCCTATACCGGCAACAGTAGCCGCAAGGCGAGGTATTCTTTTTCTTCTTCTTATTGACCACTCTGAGTCTGGTGTTGTCGAAGTTCAATAACCTAATGAAAAGCGAATTTTACTCAGATTAGCATTTTTAGATTGTCAACGCCCAAGACCAAAAGATTCAAAATTTATCCAAATGACATAAAACTGTCAGATTATACTTTTTGTATCTGTTGATCATGGTTTTTAAATTGAAATTGTGCAAGTAGTACATATTTATTTCTAGGAAACAACATGAATTTTCAATAGAGTTTATATTGTGTATATTAAATTTTTCAAGGACATGTTAATGTTCAGCATGTAAAACTGAGTATAATCTTATCTCGTTTGGATAAATTTTGAATTTTTTGATCTTGGGCGTTGACAATCTAAAAATGCAAATCTGAGTAAAATTCGTTTTTCATTAGGTTATTGAACTTTGACTCCAAATAAACATTGCCACTAGACTCAGAGTGGTCATTGATCTCTGATTCATGCTTATTTGTGGTCACTCTTCATGGAATACCTCTAGGCGAAGTGCAAGAGCCCTACCCAGGCCATGTACGGGTTCAACAAATGTCACATGTGCAGAACCCATGCACAGCCAAGCAAAAACACACATGACATTCAGTGCCTCATGGAACTTCTTTTTATGCGCATATGCCTTGATATGAAGGCACTGCTTGAAATGTCTCATGCGCATAGCTAAGCGAAAGAACTCATATAGAATCTTATAAGATTATATCAGATCCTACAACAGGATTCTGCCAGATCTGGTCAGATCTTAAGTAGAATTTTGTAGATTCATGTATGATTCTATAGGATATAAGAGGATTTCATCAGATGTTTTAGTAATCAGTGCCCTATATTCTAGGTTTTTACTATAATCTACTATTGTTACATAACGAGAATAATTTTCCTCCGATTATTTTTCGTTTCTTTAATAAAATCTTGATCCCGGATGCTTTTTCGAACCGATCTCTTGCAAAATTCACCACTTCCGATCCTTTTTTTGTCTCTGTAAAGATGACATTCCATTCGGATGTAGAAGGTATAGGGCAACTTGAGTGCTACTAATTTGCATCAAAACCCTTTCACATCTATCTTGATAAAGCACTAGAAGCAATCACAAAAGAACTTTCTGAACCGTAATTTACATGACTGATCATCCAATAGTCAGTGGTCAAATAAACGAATTTCTTGATTGATCGAAACAGAGAATGTATCGTTGAAAAGTATTTTAATCAGTTATTACTAGTAAAATACAAATCAGACTTCTTAATATAATTCTAACAAAGTTCTAGGTAATCCTATGTAGGAATTTGATAGGTTTCATATTGTAAGTTGATGTAGGATTCTATAAGGAATACCACACTATCCTACGATAGGATCCTACATGAGTTCTTATGACAGAACAATGACTTTGGGACTCCGTAAGAACTGGAAAAAAAGTACAAAAACTTCATGCAACCACTTGCGTGTCATGCGTATTTTCGAAGATAAGATTTATTCATGTGCAAGCGTATACGTACGCATAGGGGAAAATCGTGAGTAGTCACATGCATGGCAAGAAATGTCACATGCGCGTGAAATGCTAAACTATGCAAAAATGCGCATGAACAAAATAGTTTCACTAAGATCTAATATATCATATTTTCTTGCATATGTTGGCTATGAATGATAAAAGACACAGGCATCTATCACTTTTCTATCGTATGCAATTCAAAAACCATCCTTAGGCATTCATTTCCGACATGGACAATACCTTAAAAGAAAATTTTATCCTTCCGTTGAGTTCTTATTTGCCTACTACTTGCACTTGTATACACAAATGTATCAAGAACAACTAATTTATGAAAATAGAAATAGGGAGTTATTTTCAATAATAATGAATATAATTTGTGACTTTTAGTAGCATACCGAATACAGAAATTTGATAAATATTCGAAGAATATCAAGTGTTTCTCCCTACCAAAAAAACAACTATTTGACCAAAACTCAGAAGATAAATCACCAGGATTACAGAGTAATTTTCTCGTGAAAGTAAGAGCTATTGCAGTTGAGTGCTATTATGCACTTCAAAGTTATAAGCATTATTTCATGAACCCTAAAAGAGCATTAATAAACCTATAGTGTCATTCATTAAGATATATGCTTCTCATTTAGTGTATTCTAATAGGCTGTTCTTGTTTAAGAGTCAAAACATAAGTGAACACAACTTGGCATCAACAATATCTCAAATTCTATTTCATTGCGGAAAAAATGTAAACCACTAAAAGTACCTTTTTCTTTCATGCTTTCAGCACACGCCATAAAGCATTGAAAAAGCATTTTTGACAATTGTCCATGTCAATATCCAGATCATTTTAAAACGTTTCCAATCTTCGTAGCCACAGCTAAGTTCAACAAAAAAATGTACCGTACTAACTGTCACATTGTTACCTCCCGCTCACTTAGAACTCTCAGCATTTCAAACTGAAACTATTATCATAGGCTATTCTAATGATGTCCTTGAGTCGTAAAGTTTTTGTTTAGTTAGAATTTAAAGTGTAGAAAAAACAATTAGAGGGTTCTTAAAACTGTGTCTTGCCGGCGGCATTGTGTATGTGTAGATATCGAATAATAATCGTACACTTACAAAATAAAAAAGATTATTTTTACAGACGAAATATCGTATAGAACAAGAATCTATATTCTGTGAGAGCGACGTAGCTACTATAGAAAAACAGTAATACTTACTTTATAACGCATAACTGTTGCCATTTGATTTTTCAATAAAAAAGTTTATTTTTTATAAATACTAACTACATTTTAAGTTTTTTATTGTGTTAACAAGTGTAAAAACAAGAATGTAGTCTATTTTAATTATTAACTGTGTTAACATTTACATTTCGTGTCAAATCTTCGTTTTTTTCTAGTCTCTCTTTCTTTTTTCTACCATTGTCAGAACATGGCACCACGATAAACATTGTATAGTTTAGAATACGGTTAGTAATAGCTAGCTGCTCAACCTCAACGTGTCTTGTGTTGATCTACAAGAAGTCAGTTTTTTTCCCCCTGTCACTTTTTTTTTTCGAGGATAACACCTGCAGAATGAAAGAAAAAACAAGGGGTTTTTATTTATTTTTTTATTATTCTAACATGTCGGGAAAAAAAATATACACGAAAAAAGTTCTTCATTCATTTCTTTTTTGTTGACAGTTTTCACGTACGACGAGATAAATTTCTATCGTTCACTTCTTCTACGTTTCTTTTGTTTCATTCTGACTTCCTGCTCTGTTCTGTTTTCTTTTTTTATTAGAAATCTGAATAATAAATTATTTGATCATTCATACATGCACGCGACACGGGTGTTAGTCAATGTAGTAATAATAGTAGCAGTAGTAGTGATGAGAGTTTCATGTCTGTATCTTAACTTAGCTTCAAAATAGACCACTGTATTCAGATGTTCAACACTAAACGACTATATAAGATAAAAAAGAAAAAAAAAAGAGAGGATGTTGTGTGTGCGTGTGATCGCTATTTTATCCCACAAATCAACTCTCGAAAACAAGTATGGGTCTCAACTATGTGACAGTTAGTACGGTACATTTTTTTGTTGAACTTAGCTGTGGC